CCCACCATGAATATTCATGTAACTGATGACGTCACGCAGTGTCAGCGTAATAAATCATCTTTTCCAACATGGCAGCTCCTAGTGTCGCTTGTCCACATTGTTACCCCCGGTATAACCCATGCAAATACATGACAGGCTACATGGAAGGGAACATGTGAAGATGAGTTACTTCCGTCAGCTGAATCACTGAAATTTCACTGGCTTAGGTTATGATAGGTCAGTACAGTTGGAGAAGAGGTCTATCCTGATGTTTGTAACAATGGTTGGATTGTGGAAGAGTCTGACTCTTTGAGAGTCCTATGGGACACTGAGGAAAATGTAGAGAGGATCAGAACAAATGTTCGATTCCTTACAAGGGGATGTTCTTGTGCTAAAAGCCATTGTAAGACAAGGGTATGCAAGTGCAAAAAAGAAGATCGGTTTTGTGGTCCAGGATGTTCATGTAAATGTGTAAGGGATGTGAAAATGTACTTTCGGACTGTAGCCCAAACAGAACTAAGTATGTCTGTATGTTGACATTTCTGACTGTGATGAAGATTCAGAAATGATAGCAGCTCCATAGATGATTTTGAATGTGACTTTAATGTATTAGGGAGTAATCGAGATGTTGCTGATGATATTGAGAAAAGTTTGAACTCTTCAGTCCATGAGGTGTTTGAACAGTTTCCTTTTGCTCCATGTTTTGAAGGAAATGCAAAAGAAGAGGATAGTGACTATGAAGATTAACAAGTAGCTACATGATATGTACATGTGTCCATTTTCTTGGCAATTTTGTGTAAGTTGCACGTCCATGGTCCAAGCAAAAAGTGAGAGCAGTTTCTATCAGGTGCATTTGTTTTACTTGTGTTACATGGTCATGTATGTCAAATATTTAATAGTGCACATACGTTTATTTCAGTTTACTTTTATTAATGATCTTGCCTTCGAAGATTTTGTTAATACTTTTTTCGGCATTGTTTTGGTATTTTTTAAGATATGGTACATTCTCTTTGTTCTTGCCTAAATGCAAAAATGCAAAACATCAATTCAAACTTACTGGGCATGTCAAGGTTAAACAAATGTTAAATTTTAGTGTACTGAACATTCCTTTTGTATGTGAAACATAGTACTTGAATACATGCTAGTTCGGTTATCTTCATCATATGAAATGGGCAAGTGTGATTCAAAACTTTTATTATGTGCTGTGGGCTACTCAAAGCCAAAAGTAATTTCTTGGTTTTCCTCCAATCCCCCACCCTATCTGTTACAACTCGCATCTCAGGAATGATTTGAGAAAAATTGTGCTCAGGAATTACGTCTTTGATAGTGATAATTATTTTGTACACTTTTTACAGCTTTTGTTATCAGTAACAACATGTTTCATAAAAGTTTTTAATTAAGTTATAGGCAGGTTCATTTTTTCAGTCTGCATCCACAATGCCAAAGTGTAATTTAAATTTAATGCTCTATTTGCCAAGTGTGAATATGCTTATTCACTTTCAAGCATTGCCATTAATACTTAATTTAGTCCGATATTTTTATTTTTGGCAAGATTTTAGTGTCTGTTGAAATAGTATTATATGTAGTTCTTTATTTTTAAAATATGCAGTTTACAGGTTTTACGAAGCAACGTTTGCAATATTAACAACAGATACATGTTTGTTCATCAACAAATTGCAGCTGAATAAAAAGAAAATGTGTTCATATATTTGAAGAAAATGAAGAAGTGCATTTGTCTTCCATTTGTTTCATGTTCCGCGTTTAAAACACAGTATGATATGGAGTTTTCATGAAGAGCAAAAGATTTTAATATGCAATTATGCAATAATTTGTTGCAAAGTACATGACCTCCTTCAAAAAAGATATCTACATTACGTTGGAGCTTGGCTTTAATACTATTAGTTTATTGTACCGGACCATGCAATAATGCATGGCAAAGCTTACTATCGCCTAGGCTATAGCTAGGGTAGACTCCCGCCACGTCCGATTTACAGAGGTAGAATACTAATGAGCCCACAAAAAGAGAACAAGGAAATATACTATTGATAAATTTCCATCCCTTTCACCAGAGGGAAGCAAAAACCCTTGTAATAAAACCAGACGTGGCTGAATACTATTAACAAACCTGAGTTTTGTGACCACATACATGTACATGTACGGTACTAGGCCTACTTCCTGACTGATAGTTACCGGTCTTAGTCGGGGGCCTCATAATATATGTCTAATAATTTAGATATCAGTGATGCACAGTTTGGGTACCTGCCACTTGTACATTATTGTGTGGGTAGCTTTGCTCTTTGTGATTGGTCACTGTGTGTTCTCGTTATGCATGTTGACTAATCACGTAAGCTGTCTTATAAAATGGTCATTTCTTAACGACGGTAGGTTTTGAGAACTCGGAACACGTAAAGGTCACCAATTTTTAGGTGCTCCTGACTGTTTCGAATCGTCTCTTGAAATACAGGTACAATTTACATGATAATGAATAGTTGAAGTTATCACTAGTGTGTAAGATCTGTCTGCAACATTCATTTTGGAGAGAAAACGAGACGTTTTCCATTGACCATTAAATCTGTACAGAGATATCAACACAGTTTTGCCCTAATATTTCATCTTTTCTAATTTTCAAAACGTATGGAAAGGCACACTTTACGCAGACTTTTCCTATTTTGTTTTGATCATCCACCATCTTTTTTCGTCTTGGACATCGCGTCAAATTACATGTACGTCGTGTTCTTATAAATGTTGTAAACCCATATGCTTGAGCGGCTACTCCTGTCAGCTTGATAGGATGCGTGCGCATAGTAGCTCACTTGAACTTGCAACCCCTGACTGGTAGCCTGGTAGGTGGTTGCGCCACGGCGCACGCTAGCGGCTGTGTGTTCTTGTCTCGCCTCAATTTCCGAAGTGGCCAATTTCACCATGCCCGTGGCACGTTGGTCCACGTAAGTGATGCTTGTAGGTCTTCAAACTGGTTACAAACAATTCTAACGGTATGGCAGTACATTCAATATTTCTTTCAGCTTTTAATAAGTTGAACAACTTAAAGAATCGTTACCATAGCAATTCGACATGCACCTGACATGGGCAGTGGGCAAGACTTAGCCCCACACATGTAGGGCCGTACATCATGGCTCTCTTTTGAAATCTGTCTCTAAACTGTTGCCAGTACTGCCCTACTAGTATGGAATCTTAGTGCAGATTTTTGGGAACTTTGAACAATTTTTTTTCCAAGATAAAAACAGCCAGACAATTTCAATACACCAGTTGACTACTCAGAGTTTACTGACCATCCAAATAAAATTTCAATGACAAAAATTACTGCATTTGTCTTTTTTTTTTTTTTTCACAAAAGAAGGCATCTTTTAAACCCAGCCTGTAATGTATGCTGACGATGTCTGTGGCCATTTCGAACAAATACGCACAATACAATTTTCTTCATAAACTTAGTGAAGGTGTATTTATCCCAATACGTTGAATCAATTTATTTTGCAGAAGCCTCAATGGAAGGCCACCAGGCACGACACATTAGCAGAATAAGTAGAGTTGTGCTATTGTCTATACAACAGAAATGAAACGAGTTTCATGGTACTGTACGTACGTACATGTACACGTACGTGTATATTATACGGTTTACTGAAAATTCTTGTCATTATTTCACTTTGTAATGTATGCAAGCAGATTTGGGCCCAAATTACAGAAGCAAGTGGCACGGAAAGTCCCAAGATTGCACCAGAGAGTATCTAGAATCCAAAATTTCCTGGGGCCCTTGAGCAGGCCCTGAACCCCATGCCGTGGCTTTGCAAAAACTGATCACCTAAGGATGGAAAACAATGGTGCCCCCCCCACTTTTTTATACCTTTCGACAGGCCTGTAAAGGACAGAGTTTTGCAAATGAAGACACCAGTGGCTATTCACTCTCCAAGTCTGCAACTTCTGATTGTCTAAACAAAATCAAGAATTTTCAAACGAGTCTCAGATTACTAACAGTGAAACCTTAGAGGCCTTAATCCCAGAAAAAGTTGTCAGAAATGTGTAGTAAGAGGAAACATAAATCACACCAATCTAAAAGCAGAAAAACATTCAGACCAATCATGCCACCTCCCTCCGAAAAATTTCATTTTCGCATAAAAATTATTACATCGACACTGCATGTGCATTTTCTGTTATCCACTTTCACTTCGCTTCCAAAGCCTTACGTGACTAGAATAACAAGTTTCCTCCAACTTAATATTGCATTTATATTTTGACCACTTCATTACAGAATTTCTCTGCCGTCACAAACACTATTAGGCCTACAGTTGGTCACTAAATTGATAAGCACAGACTCAAATGGCAACAATTACAAGCCACATACGTGTACATGTGTACGCACAAGAGCCAACTTTAACTGACATTTCAAACCTGCTTCCTTGAAAACAAACAGCAACAAAAGCATTGGGAATTAAAAATATATTGCGCTATCAGGGAGGATCCAGGAATTTTTCCAGGGGAGGGGGGGATAGTTGTCATCAATTGTTGACAGGCAGATGCATCAATGCATTTCATTGTTCAATGTTAGGCCTTACTGATGTACAAGGAAATGCATTGACGCATTTGCCTGTCAACAACTGATGACAACTACACCTCCTCCCCCGGAAAAATTCCTGAATCCTCCCTGATAGCACAATGGATGTTTTGGTGTCACAGCAGAGGCTTGAACCGCTCGCCCCACGGTGGCTAACTTAATGTACATTATGTGCAACTACTGCAGTTAAAAGTTGAAGTTCACTTTACTAACTTTATCATGTCTTGTAAGTCAATTCAACCATGATTCAACAGTCTACTCACGAGTGAACATATGAGCAAAGGCAGTACATGTACATTATGGTGATGCACTTACCATGACTTACCTTGCTCCATCCAGTCTGTGAGTGTGAAGTACATCCACGGCAC